ATAATCTACCAATTTCATTTTTTTCTATTTAATAATATTTATTTCAAACTTGCAAGTTGAGTTAAAAGTTATGGTAATAAATTCATTTTTTTTTTATTAAAACTTTCACTTTAAAGAACAAAAAGAAGTAGGTTCAAAATGATTACTTTTAACATATTAAAAATCAATAATAATTTGAAAATAATTAATTATAAAAATTATATAATATATAATTAAAATAATTACTAATCTGGATATAATTAAGGAAATAGGAGTTGATGTTGGGTTGGGTTGGTTACATTTTTAACTTTATAATGCTATAACTCATTGAAAAGTGTACGAATCAACACAATTTTTTTATGAGAAATAATATTTTTTAATAATCCCTTTTTCATTCGACATACTTTATCTTAATCAGGGTATTAATAAGAAACTAGCAGATAATGTAGCTTTTGTAATTATCCACCAATTTCTTAGAATTAAACACTATCTACAGATTTGCATCGAAGCGTTTCTTATGATAGTGATTTTAATCACTGTCAGATTAAATCTATACTGAACCCAACTATGCAATGTCTCCACTATGCCGCGAACCCACTGTGCTACCGTTTTTGTTATTTGGGTTAGGATATTGTTTTCGATGTTGTTCAACTACTTGCAAGAGATACTGTTTTTGTTCTTCTTGATTAGTAAGTATCCCATTAAATGATTGAATCAAAGATATCCCACGTTCGGCAGCGTCGTTTACTACTTTTAAACTTTGAATCCTTTTACGCCCATCAATGTAATTAGCGTTTTCTTCCCAAGTACTTGGATGTTGAGTTAAAAAATCTTGTGGTATACTTAGCGCTGTAAATAATTTTAAGATATTATTAGTTACAAAATCGCACAACTGCATTGTGTGAACTGCATTCAACTTGATTTTAATACGTCATTGTTGGTTGACGGCTCCCTTGTTTTCCAATGATTTCACCATTTTTATTTTCATTTCAGTTGGCACTTTTCTGTCAAAAAAAGCCAGTTCCAAGAGAGTGTCACTTAAATACTATAAATGCCNTCCAAGAGAGTGTCACTTAAATACTATAAATGCCTAGAGAAACTTTTGATAGCAGCATCAGCTATAATTGCATGAGTATTTTGATATATATTAAGCTCCTTCAATAGATTTAAATCGTTGAAAGGGGCTGATTCCCTACAAGGAGCAGTGTACCAAAATTTTATGTAAACTTGTAGTACAAAAATATTGAAAGGTTGTAGTGACGATAGTTCTTGTGCGGTTAATTTGATTTGTGATCTAAATAAGTAGATTTTCATACTATAGATAATCTTAGCCATCCATCTAGCTCTATGTAAAGCTCCAGGTGCCTGTATATTAACGTTTTTGGAAATATTAACTCAATCTAAAAATAGAAGAGAAAGTTGTAATAGTCTCTGGGCTGATATTTTGTCAACCGCTCATTAATAAATTCAACTAGGAACTTTTTTATTGGTTTGAAATGTTTAGCAACTTTATCATCCATAATTCCACTTGCGTATTTTTTTTTGTTAATTTTACTTCAGCTGTCTGAAAATCGTTAAAAAACCTGTATTTTCGGACCATTTGAAGGACCCATCAAAGTATTAAACACTTTTTCAACAATGAGTTCCATGATGTGATGCCGACATGCTAAGCTCAGAAAATCTCTTTTCATTTTTTTTTTCAAGTAGTACACAGGCACCTGTGTTTACTCCACAGTTGCTGGCTGTTGTATCAAAAGACATAGAATGAATTCGTTCAGTTAAATTCCATTCTTCTATTAACTGAAAAACTGAAGTAGATTGAGCTTCTCCAGTTTCATTTGAAATATTTGGCACACCGAGTAATTTCATAACACCGTCACTTGAAACTATTACAGCAAGTCCATCAACTTTATCTTTTGATGTTAAAAAAGGTAGTAGTTTTCCATACCAATGTATTGTCAACGGAGTGGTCGGTAAAAATGAAGATTTTAGTTCATTTGCGATATTTTGACGATTTTTTCGACGAACTTGTCTTATTGACTCTCGATTTAAAGTAAAGTCTTGTACATTGTAACCTAATGATTGTACGGTAGCTGACAAAACATACATAGCGTTTATGTTACTTACTTTGGTTTTATCTAAAGCAGATGCTACTTCAGTAGTGACAATACTAGAAGTTTTTAAAGTATTAATAAGTTCAGTAGAATTATTTTGCTTTAACCTTTTGTTGTTAGGTATATATAAATCATCGTCACTTTTACTGCTGCTACTAGATTCTGTTCTTTCAGTATTTAAATTATTAGTTTTTGTCTTCTCCTTTCAATCGTTCTATCTCTTTTAGTTCCCTGATTATAAATGGTTGCTTTCAATCATTTTTTTTATCTTCTTTTTTTAAAAGTTTCGTGTCTACGGAGATTATGCAATCACGTCTTTCTTTTTCTCTCTGAGCCAGGAGAAACTGTTTATCTTCTTCAATAGTTATAAGAGTTAAAGCATCCATATAAGCAATGTCAAATAAATTATTAAAGTCATCGACAAATACAGACTCAATCTCCTTTTGATGAGGAGTTTTTCTCGAAGAACTTTTTTTAAATTCAGCCATTTACAATGAATTTTTTTTATTTTGTCAATTATATGACATTCCTTTTGAGTAGAAATTTTAGTTTTTGCCCAAAATATACATATTTCTCTTGCTGTAATGGTAGCATTAATTTGAATAGTTTTTTTTTNCTCTTGCTGTAATGGTAGCATTAATTTGAATAGTTTTTTTTTCATGCAAATGCAAATGAAAAAAACGACAAAGTACTTGCTGGTAAGATGATAGTTTGCAACCAGTAATTGATTCGAGTGTACCTCCAACTAGCCAAACACCTTGATCCTTTACGTAACTTATAGTTTTAGTGCTTGTGCTTGGCATAATATTTTAATTACATATAAAATTACACATATATGAACTAAATAATAAAAAAAATATTCACATCAGAGTGGAATTATTTTAATTATCACAAATACACAAAATTTGAATACAATTATTCAAAAAATATGAACTTAACGAAACACTTATAAAATATTTATAAAAGTGCGGCGATATTATCACGAAGAATTACGTTGACGGTTTAAAATGACAATTTGTACTGTCATACTGCAAATGAGTCGCTAACATCAGTGTATTATCGTGGATAATGAGAGCTCATGAAATCGTGATATCAAAGTTATTTATAAACAAATAATAAAGCTCTGCGCGACCTCTAAACATCAACAAAATTAGATAAAATTTTCAGAACATGTATATTTTACCCAAATGAATATTTTAAAAGGGTGGGACAAAAGAAAAATTTAAATAAAATTTTTGTCATATAAAATGTTGTCACTCTATAGTACATATTTAGATTGGAAAATAGGATTTTATCTTTTTAATGAATACTTTTACTAACCTTTTTTCTAATGAGTGTTACGTATATATTACCCTAGATATATAACGAACTTTTAAAGTGCATATCAATTGTTTCTACCGTGATTTCTTAAATATAATTATAAAAAAAAAAAACAGTTTATCCAAATTATATATATAAGTAATTGAAACAGTTCGTGTTGAGACACCATACAGACCACACGTATAGTCTACACGTATTTTAATCGTATACCGCTTCGCTTTTATCTGCTTCCGATAGCAAAGTCATTAGTGCTCGCCGCGGGACCTCTAACTATCGGTAATGTATAAACATATTTACATGCCAAGTCCACTTATAAAGACTATTTTAAATTTCCCAATCGACTCCGTTACCTTATCTACGTCATTATGAATTATCGTAAAAGTAATTCTACTAGTCCAAAGCCCACAACCAGTATATCAACAAAAATAAATAAGCCACAAACTTTAAAAATTCCAACATCATTATCAAATCAAACGGGCGACTACTCCTCATTAGACCTATCAGACAATGAACAAGACTGGCAAACAGTCTTATCAGAATCAACCAAACGCGCTAGATCTCCAGGTCATACCTCCTCTCCACTTACGAAAAAAGACACGAGCATTTTCATATCCGCAAATCGTTTCTCTCCTTTAGCCACCCCTGACGATGACTCACAAATGGTCACGGAAGTCACTGAACAACAACAGACACCTATTGAAATCAATCCTCCAAACCCGCCGCCTATATTCATCGAATCAGAGCTAAATTTCAATAATTTTATTATTAAAATTAACGAACTAACTAAGTCCTCTCGTTTTGAGTGTAAAGCTTCTACCAAAGGCCTGAAATTACAAACGTTCAACTCAGATTCATACAGAGCCATTATAAAATACCTTAAGGAAAACGATGTTCCACACCACTCCTTCCAGAATAAAGAAGATAAACCGTTCAGAGTTGTTATTAAAAATCTCCACCCAACAACAGATATTACATTCATAAAAACCGAACTTTCAGCACTAGGTTTCCTAGCTAGAAATATAAATAATGTTCGCCACAGACTATCCAAATTGCCTCTCCCAATATTTTTTATTGATTTAGAGCCTGACTCAGCCAACTCTGAAATCTTTAAATTAACCTCGCTCTGCTACACTAAAATTAAAGTTGAAGCACCGTACGCCAAGAAAGACATTCCACAATGCCTCCGCTGCCAATCTTATGGTCATACACGTACATATTGTAGCCACCGTCCCAGATGTGTTCGTTGCGGTGAACTACACGACTCTTCTTTATGTCTAAAAAATCGAAACGAACCTGCCAAATGTGCCTTATGCGGTGGCCCGCACCCAGCAAATTATAAAGGTTGTTCTGTCCACAAAAGCATCATCAAAACACGAAAGCTCCAACCTTCTAATCCCTGGCGTAAAAATACTTTAAATTTTCAAGAACCACTTACTTCTTCCAATCTTCAAAACCCAAGCCAGACTGACNTATAACGAAAAATAGTAATTTTCTCTACCAAAATAACATTTTTTATTTATTTCATAGAGCGTTTTAAAATAGAAGATTAGTTGACGAAACAATAGTTTAGCTTTGATAACAAGCTGAGAAGGTATTTTAAACTTATAATATTATTAAATTTTACGTGATTAAGTTCTAAATTAATTTAAATGTATAAAATAACCAAATGTAATATACTAGTCTCTTTATTAGTATAAAAATATAATTCCCTATTTTGAAACAATGAAATAATCCACCATATGTTTAGGGAAATCGTTCATTTCAATTAATGGGATCAAACTTTTGTAATAATTAATCTTTTTTCGTTTGAAAACAGCGTTTTTAAAATGTTCAATATTTTCATTTTTGAATTCTTCTAAACCATCATTATCCCCAACGTCGTAAATATTAAATTCACTACTGTTATTGTAATCATTGAAATTTTCATTTTTGTTTACATCCTCATAAAGTAAATTATCTTTACATAAATTGTCTGTAAATTAACAATAATGAATTAAAAATAATGAAGCTATAATTAAAAGTAATAAGAAAAAACAATATTATATTAACCTCTATGAAATCGTTAATTACACTAAAACAATAAATTAATTTTTAAAAAAACGTTTTTTTACTAGGTCTATTTTTGTGGTTTTAATATTAAGTAAATATAATTATATTTATTATAATTTTGTTTAAAATGTGTAAATGATTATATTTAATTGAAATAAATTTTTATTATATATATATTTATACTAGAGGTAAATTAATGCTTACCAGTTAAATTTGGCAATAAAAAGTATTTGAAGTTTTTTAAAGTGACTTTATCGCAATACTGCAAAGCATGAACTGCTTGAAATAAATGTTTATAATTTTTAAGTTCCTGAATATAAGATTCAACTATATTAGCTTTTTCTATTATTTGATCACGTATATCTATTACATTTATATTAGAAACAAATATCTCTGATTTCATTTGGAACTTTAATTTGTTTTCTTTCATGAATGATTCTATTCCTTTTAATAATAAGTCTGGTAAATCTTCGTTTTCAAGTTCCGAACCTTTTACCCAATTTATAATCACGTGTAACCTGTAAAATATTTTTTTAAGAAAAATATATCCTTTTTCTTTGTAGATATTCAAGTTCCGAAATGATTGAAGATGAAGAGCCACATTCTTTCCTAAAGTAACTATACTAGATAAATTTTCTTTATCATTTTTAAATTTTTTACAATCCTGGGAAGCGATTTTTGCAAGTTGAATGTAATCAGCTATAAGTATTCCAATAGGATAAAAAGTAGCTCCGAGTAATATTTTTTGGAATGCTTTTATATCAATGAATGAAAATTGATACTCTGCGTAACGATATAAATCATAAATAGTTAAATTAGATTCGTCAGCACACTTAATATTAAGCGGAGCGAATCGTAAGAGATCTAAAACATCATTTGTATTACCAACTTCCAATTTTTGACGCTGTTTTGATTTAGTATCCATTTTTAGATTTTTTTCTGAATTTTTCGTCATTAAATTATAAAATAATATATTTCTTGGGTAAAATAATAATTCGTCAAGATTTTTTATTTTTTCAAAACCTAATTCTTTCATCAATTTTTCCCTAAGGCGTTTTGTAGCTATACTTAACTCGTCAATATTTAATATATGAGTTGGTATCAAGTCAATAGGATACTGGACAAATAACGAAATTGGTTCTTTAATACAGTTGTACTTTATAAAACTATCTAAACCGATTATCATAGAATGATTAAGTAATTTTAAACCTTGTAAACTGAGTAAAACTTTATTATTTTTAACTGCTTCATCATTGACTGCTTCATTTTTATTAATTACAATTATTGATCCAGATATGTTATTTAAATACATATTTACCGCCATCAAGTCTGATGGAAAGTGGATGTTCTGATTAACATACAGTTCTTGGATCATTAATAATATAATATCACTATGAGATTGAACAGCTTTATCATATTTTCTCAAATCTTCTTCGGTCACTCTTTCTAAGTTATTATAAAAATGTAACAAATACTTCTCATTGAGTTTGAAATAATTCAACATGTATCTAGAAAAATTGCAACGTCGTTCATTGTAAGCAGAATTTTCCAAAGTGAAATTCAACAGTAAAATAGTCAAAATAGTTATAAATGTCATATTTTTTAATATCGAGGAAAATTAAGCTAGAATGAAATCTAATACAATTTTATAAAATAATACTGGTAAAAATTAAGAAGATATATGTGATGTTATTTCTAATTTATAGTTTTATTTTTTAGAAATTCCTGTTAACCTATTTAATATAAGTAAATAATCTGAAAAATTATTTGTATTTAAAACTTTTAATAAAGACTCTGAATTTAATGTCATGCTTATACATATTTTTAAATAAATTAGAGAAAAATAGAATATTGATATAGAATGATATTTAGAAAAGCTTTTTAGTTTCGATGCGAAGTTGACAAGGTATTAATTTTACCATTATGTGTTTATTTTTTTTTGTGTCTGTCACTACTTTTTCTCAACTCTTACTGGAACGATTTTTCTCAACGATACGTCAAAAGATCACAAAACGTATTTAGTTGAAAACATTACCCTTACAAATTGAACAGTTTGCCTTCGTTCCCAGTAAATGATGAAAATCCCTCCCAAAAATTACAATTTGTAAAATCGGTAAATTTCGATATTTTTTTCTAAAAATTGCCATAACTATTGAAAAATGAATAAATAAATATAATTTTCTTTTATATTGAAACCATAGATATTTCTCTTTCATTTGATATAAATTATTTGAAAAACTGACCCAGGAGTAGGGATTCAAAATAACAACTTTCTCACAAAAATTTAACTTTTTCAACTTAAGTCTTGAAAATACTCCGAGCATTAAATATATGTTAAAATAAAGCTAATGTTATGTACTCTAAGTTAAATAAAAAATTTGTCCCGATGATTTATCTTCTTTATGCATATGGTTGTCGTAGTTAAAAAAATGCAAATTTGGTGTTCAAATTTACGATTTCATATTTTATTTTTTCAACTATAAATTACTATAACTTTTCGAAATATATATGGATCAAAACAATTTTTTTTTCATAAATGCTTTATGTTTATTTCTTTTATTTGATATACTTTTTTTTAAATCGGACCATTTTTCTTTATACTGGAAGGTTTATAATTTTAAAAATATGAGTAAGAAGTAGTGAAAATTGTTATCATATTCAAAAATATGCTATTTTTGTGTTAAATTCCTTGGTGTTGTATTTTTATTTATTTTAATATACCTTATAAGGGGAGTACACTGATTTTCATAAATATTATATAAAACTAATTAACATAGAGTATAAATTTATAATTATTTAAATTTTTTTCTTTCAAGTCAAAAAAAGTAATTTTAACATTTGAATCAAGCTTTAATTGCCAATTTTATCAAACGATTCCATATGTATAGTTTTAAAAGTATTTTTAAGAATAGTTCTTTAAGTGTTAAAAAATAAATTTAATATACTTAAGGCAATGATGTAATAAGATGGCACTTGGTTAAACAATTATTCCACTAATTGTAAAGAAAAAGTCACTTAGAAGTAAAAAACTAACTAAATCATAAAATACTTCTTATACGTAAATCTTTATAAACTACAGTCTTAAATGACAAAAAACACATAGTCTGTTTCTTATAATTTATTTTTTTTAACTTACAGAAGACTGCATTAAAAAAGATTTATAAAAGAAAAATGGGAATTTTTTCGAATTATTTATTTATATTTTTTTCGTAATTGTGTTTTTATATGCTATTTATATGTAAATAACAAAAATTGATATTTTTGAATTCCTTAAAAATCTATTTTTTTATTAGTAGTAATTTCATAACTTTTAGATTGATATAAAAAATGCTTATCAAACTGAAATTTAAGTGTTAATAAAATTGGTTAAACTTGACAACTAAGCCCAAAATTATGCAAAAATCATTTTTACTCTTATCAATTTTCATAATAATTTTATTATAATTGTTTATTTTATTGTTAATTATAAACAACAATAAAATAAATCGATTATTATTAATTAATTAATAATAAGTAATTATCTCAAAAACTTAATTTGATAAAGAATCTGGTGCCTTATTCGAAATTAGTGTTGAAATTCCGTATAGTATTCATCTTAATATTACAGACAGCTAAATGGCTGTATTCCATGTTATTAATGTTAAGCAATTTTTTAATAACTGAAAAATAAAGTTTTAACTTAGTTAAAATTAAAACAGAAAAATAATTTTTATAAATAAATAATTTAATTTACTCTTATACTCGCAATTCATAAGTGTATGATAGATTTTATTGAAATATTTTAGCTTCGATGCGAAGCTGAGAAGGTATTGGTTTTTAGCTTCGATGCTAGGCTGAGAAGGTATTGGTTTTTAGCTTCGATGCTAAGCTGAGAAGGTATTGGTTTTACTAAGATGTGTTTTTTTTTTTGTGTCTGTTACCACTTTTTCTCAACTCTCACCGAACCGATTTCTTTCAACGATACGTCAAAAGATCACAAATCGTATCTAGTCGAAGACATTACCCTTCAAAATTGAAAAAATTTCCCTCGTTCCCCGTAAATGGGGGAAACCTCCAAAAAAATTACAAATTTAAAAATCGCTAATTTTCGAAATTTTTTCAATTTTTTTTACTAAAAACTGCCGTAACTTTTTCAAAAATGAACATATCAATATAATTTTTTTTTATATAGATGCTTGATGTCTTTACCTATTATTTGGTATATTTTTTTTGTAAATTTGACCTTTTTTCTGCCCACAGGGGGGGATTTAAAATGACAACTTTTTCACAAAAAATTAACTTTTTCAACTTAACTTTTGAAAATGTTCCGGAAGGTCTGACACTTTTATATATATCTTAAATTAAAGCTAATGTAATGTACTTTAATTTGAAAAAAAAAAATTTGACCTCTGGACTTGTCTTCATGGTGAAAACGGCTACCAAATGATATTTTTGTGTGAAAATTTTCGATTTTGTATTTTACATTTTTAATTTTATTATGCTATAACTATTTGAAAAATGTATGGATCAATACAATTTTTTCATGAGAAGTAGTATTTATATACATCTTTCATTGGATATACTTTTTTTTTAAATCAGACTATTTCCCTATATATGGGGGGGCTTCAAATATAAAAAATGCATATAGAAAGTA